CACCTCACACCAAAAATTAGAGTCCAGATTTTTTGTTGGATTTTGTTGATGTTGTCCTCTATTGAATATAAATATTAAAAGTACACTGATGTTGATATATTAAAATTATTTTTAATATATTTTAAAACATTAAAATCAATGTTCAGCAGTGTATTTTAAAGACACAACAGAGAAACAACACAAGAAAATCCAGTAGAGAATATAAATTCCAAAAATTATGCAGTGGTTATGAATTATTTCGACTTACATAATGACCAGCTCCAAGGATCCAATAGAAATGCAGATTTTTGAATGACTTGAAAAACCCTTTGGTGGTTTTGTCACTTCCACAATAGATGGGGGTTCTGTCTTTTTCCAAGAAACTTTGAAGTCCTTCCCAACTACAAAATGGATACCCAAAAAAGAAAAAACAGCATAACTCGCATAAATGCTTTGCTTCACCAATATTGAAAAGATCCGTAAGATTGCTTACTTCAGTTTCTTAAGCCAAGCTTCTGTTCCCTTGGTTGCACAAATGAGATCAACCTATAATAACCACAAATCACAATGATCCATTGAGATACATACATGTTTTTCTGTGTGAGAACTTCTGCTATTGTAGGTATATCATTAAATTGCACATGACTTTCTAAATAGTAATTTAACTGTTCATTATCTTTCAATTTTGATTATATAGTTGCATGATCCAAATTTTATGTTATCATTTCTCACACCACATGCAAATTTGGGGATGAATAACACTTTTGAATCCACAAACACAAAATTGGGATGAACAATGGTCTCTGCACATTGACAATATGTCAAACAATGGAGATGAACAATCACATAAAAGAAAAATAAAAGATGGTCAAATCAGGTTTCTCAGCAATTTGCTTAAATATACTGATACAATGCTTTAAACCCAGACTACATGTCAAACAATTGGGATGAACAATAGTTATATGTAGGATCAAAATTCAAAGTGTGCACATAAACTGTTTGTAAAAATTGTTGGTGAAGGACACTTACTTGACCACTATACACAGTCACGTTGACCCCCAGTGTCAGCAGCTCATCAACCTAAGAGAGTTAAACTAGAGACATCAAATATAAACTAAAAGAAAAGAAATTACCCATTTTAATTAATCCAATTCCGTGAAATATCATTATCAAAACCCTTTGAGACCAAAATACAGAAACAAATTGTTTTAAGCATATTATAATCTTCTTACCTCACTGATTCTTGGCTTCATAAAATCAGCTACAAGACTTTCGAAAACCTCCCAGGACTGCACTTCGTATCTGTCATCATCACAAAAGTTGTTGTGAGATCACGATTTTGAATTGGAATATGCGATAATTTGACATCATAAACTCACGTAACATTCTCAGGAATGATCTTTAACTTCTTCCTGATGACACCGTTTAGTAATTTTTCAAGATCATCGTCCTCACTACCAAGGGTTGAAATCTTTGCATTAAGATACTTGGAGTATCGCATAATTGACACTTCTTTCGATAATCCCAGCTCCATTGCGTTTATGCTGTTTGAATCACTGTCATCTTGTAGAAAATTATAGAAATCCTGAAATATTAAAAAATAAGAATTTCAGGAGCTGTGGTACAAAACACCTTTACAATTACTTTCAAAATCTACCACAACTCCAAAAGTTAGCCAATGACATGAAATATTATTTTCACTTATACACACTATTTTAATAATCATTTCAAATTTTCAAAGTATTTAAGTGATTAAATAAACACACCAACGTGGTTAATGGAAATTATAGTACCACAGAATTGCTGCTAGCGCTAATCTCATTCTCAAGATCAGCCCATGAGTTAGTCGCATCAGCAAATTGACCTGCCTCAAGTTGCTGCTTGATCCTCTCAGCTATACTGTTGTAAAATCATATTTATCCACCAGATAATATAGAAAATGAAATCCAACTCCTACATTTCATCAATTTGTCTATTTCAGAATGTGGAAAAAAGATGCACCTGTTTGCCTTTTGCAGTCCATTGTCATCAAGTCTTGATAGATCTTTCAGTAGAGGACCCCATGAGAACTTCAAGGTAGAAAATATTAAAATTGTTAAAGTTGTAAGTTAAGTTTTAACCTTTGACCACAACAATACTGGAACCTACCACAAAATCTTCTGGGGAGATCCAGGTATCTCCTAATGCCACACCTAAATTAGAAAAATAAAGTTACTATCCATATAATATTTCATATATATAATTAATGGAACTATGTGGAACAAAAAACAAAATTCACCATATTGATGGACAGGAATTGTTATCTGTCTTGGATGATGTTATTGTGGAAAGAACAAATACCTCCAAGTGTAGCCTTCAATGTTCCTTGTTGAATAGCTTTGAAAGCTGATAATGCAAGAGCTACAGCAAACTTGCCACCATAAGACTCTGCCACAATGAACAGAGGACTCTTTTGGAGTTTAGCATCATTGTTGAATAATTCAGCTAACAAGGTTGTCAAGTCTGCGGTTGCCTCTTGGTCTGTTTTGGCATAGAGATCCGAATCTTCAACATAACTGTACCCGGTTCCAACAGGGTTGTCCTACATAGTACATGGCACATTGATTCAATGCCATTGTCATTGAAGGATGTAAGAAGCACAGTCAAAAGCTCATTAGAATGCAAAATCAACTGCTTCAAGGGAAAAAAACAGAGTTAATGAGCTACCACAAACAAGAGATCTGCTTTTCTCAACCAAGTGAAATTCCGGGGCTTCAAATTGCCATCGAAAGGACCAATCTCTCCAAAATTGCCAAGCCCAACTCCAGAAGCACCCTGTTAAATATTTTGAAAAAACTGATGCCATTTGAACAAAATGTGGCTATTCTTAATTCATATAATGACCCAATTAAAAAATAAATATTGGGAAGTCTGTTATAATGAGAATAAACTACTTAGTTGATATAATTTTCATAAACTGATTTAGTCAACTACTATGAGAACAAAATGACCGTTATCATTTTTTTTCCTAATCTCAGGATAATCGGTTTAACTCTAAAAAAGCACATACTGGTCCTCCCTGCAACCAGAGAATGATTGGCCAGGGTTTGGAGGGATTATCCACTCTATATGGAGTTCTGTAAAGCCACCAGAACAAATGAGCTTCTGTGGTACCAAAATTCAAAGCATAAAGGTAAGTAACCATTGCTAAAAATAATTCAAAGAACATTCTATGCTAGTTTTCTATTAGGTATCATGAGAAAGAAAAGATTGAAGAGATTACTGGGTCTGATTTCCACATATCCCCATTCCTCTGATCCGTCTTCACTCCTTGAGCTGCTACTGCTACATGTTACTGATTCTCCCTGAAATAGTGTAACAAGGAATACAATGGTGATCACAAAAGCTTGAAACTTTTTCATCTCAGAGAAGGGGACAAGAAGAAAAGCAACTACAGAGTGAATGAGTGAGTAAAAGGCAAAAAAGAAGGTGTGGGGATTGAAGATAAATAAAAATAATATTTCATTTTCTGATAAGACTGACTTGTCAACGGAATGTGCCCCATTCCTTGTGTTATGACCATTCACTCCCCTGAGTTTGAATCATTTGATACTATTCAAACTAAGTAAAAAAAATAGTTAGATTAGATTTAATTCATATTTTTTAATTTTATAAAAAAATATTTTATTATTGTTGAAGTTAGAATATTAAAATAGATTAAACTCCATACACTTACTACTTATACTGATAAAAAAAAAGCGTTATTATTGGTTTGGTCATTAGCATAGAAATAAAATTGACTAAAAAATGACAAAGAAGTTTTTACTTTAGTTTGTGAACATCATTAATGTTCTGTTTATATATATAAGAAACTTCTTTTCCGTTTTTCAGAATTTTTTCTCATTTTATCTTTTAAATAAAAAAAATTAATTAAAATAATTACTACTAATTTTATCTTTTGCATGACTATTTTTTCTAAATTTAATTATTTTTTATTTGACTGTCATTTTTAAACTATGATAATTATTTATAAAAAGAAAATACCTATAAGATAAATAAAAATTATATAATAATATTATAAAAATTATTTATATTTACTTTATAATTATAATCATAGTGATTTTAATATTTTTATCATAAGAATAGAATAACACACGTCCATTAATAAAAAATATTAAAAGGAAAAAATAATAGATAAATAGATTATTACATAGTTAGCGTTGTTAATATTGTAAGAAAAAAAAACGTTTTTTTTACAAAAACATGATAACTCTATGAATTTCTGAAAAATAAAATATTACTTTCAACACATTTAATTTAATGAAATTAGAGACTAAGATTGGTATTAAGCCTTTCTTTTGTATATAATATCTTTTCCCTCAAAAACTCAACAACATATTTGAATATGAACTTAAGCAAGTTGATTTTCTCGTGACAAAATCATAAAAAATAAAATATCACATAAAATCTTTAGAATAAAAAAAGATGTTTAAAAATCTGGTCGAATAATAATGATTTTTGTATCTCAGCTACTCCTATATGTGATTTAATTCTAAAATAAACGAAAAGATGGAATCATAAAAGGAAGAAATAGTTTTTCTTTTCTTCTAGTATATTTATATATATATATATTTTTCTTATTTACGGGGTTTGCAAAATTGACATTAAATAAAAGTTTAAATTTTTAATTAAAAATTCAAAAGAAAATATTGTTGCTAAAGACATCTTTTTTGTATTCCTTAACCGAATAAAATATCGTATTCTATTATAAATGTGTGTGCATTTAATATAAAATTATTCAAGTAGAATCTTTCTTTAATTTGGTTTAGGTCATAAGAATCAAATATATAAATTAAATATAATTCGTTTTATATTAAAATTAAAATCTAAATAAAACTAAACAATAGACTGTTTCTGAAGCGACAAAGGCCTCTACCATGTTTACTAGGTCTTAGGATTTTAAGCTTTCTGCATTTTGTAAAGCTAGGGAACATTCAATCACTTGTATTAGAATCCTACATGCGAATGATATTGTGATTTGATTTCAGAATACTTGTTTATTAACTGATCATATGTTTATTTTTTGAGATTGAAGTATTGTTACAGAAGTTCAAGTTTACATATTCTGCAAAGCTAAGAACAATGCTACACTACAACATGTCCCTCCATCACTGTAACAGCCTTTCCACGCAGAAGCACTCTCTGTGTGGCTTCATCAAAGTGGATATTGAGAATCCCTCCTCTGGGTGATGCCTGAATATCATATATTTATGTTAACATATAATATGGATTCAACTTTTCAATGACATTTGATAAATATAAGGTTGATTTAAAAGGTTTAGTACGAGATTGATTTAAAATGGGAGTTCCCACCTGATAAGCCTTGAAGTCGCACTTCCCTAGTTTCTTGCTCCAGTAGGGTGTCAATGCACAATGTGCACTCCCACAAACAGGATCCTGAAAGGAAACATGAAGTGAAATGGAGCATTGGATTTCTTTTGATATCATTGTTTGCATTGTTCTAAAGCTTCTTCTCTAAAATGGTGAAGTGATTGTTGGAAGAAGGGAATAGAACTTTCTTAAAGGGATTATGCAGTTCCAGAAATGATGTGTCAGAATGGAGTTCAAAATTAAAAGCATGAATCTTTCTGTAGATAAGATTCTTGACCACTTACCTCACTGACTCCAAGTTTTGGACAGAAAAATCTACTTATGAAGTCAAATTCTGAATCTGAAGGAGCCACCCCCGAAACAATTAACCCTATTGCAGGGCATTTAACTATTGCATCAAGCTGTGGCTGTAGTTCTGAAACAGCTTTCCCAGATGAGATTATGACCTAAAAGAAAACTGAATGTTTCATAATGTTCACTGTGCACAATTGCTAAAAAAAGTAGCAGATACACACATATAGTTTAATTCTAAGAATCAAGCAGGTTAACAGATGGTTAACACTGTTCAGCAGAATCTCTAGGTTAACGTCTAAGCTGAACTGAGTTGTATCAGACAATAACAGAAAGGGAAGAGAACAGAAATAGGAATTACGAGCAAGCAATCTCCAATTGTTGTCCTTTTCACATCAATTATGGAAGCACCGCCTAATGCCTCAGAAATTAGTGAAGCACTCTCATCAAAGTTGAACTCTGTAACCGGATCAGCAGGAAAATCCAATTCAATATACAAATCTGTGAGATCTTTCTGCAAGTTTGGGGCACTGGAAGTATGAATTGCTGGGATCCTTTTAGCAACCAGTACTCCAGATAGCGTCTGAAATTCAATAACATCACTATCCACAGAACCTGATGAAAACAGTACGTGCGCACTGGCTAATGTAGCGTGACCACAGAGTTTAACCTGCAGAAATTGTCACAGGTAATAAAGCTCAGTAATACCAGCGATTTAACTGAAAACTTGATCATTGAAGACATAAAAATGAACTAATATGAGATATTAGTTACCTCAGCAACAGGTGTAAACCATCTGAGGCGAAAACTGGGGATAGAGGAGTCTGATGTTGGAGTAATGGGAGTTATGAAAGAGGTCTGAGAGATATTGAATTCTGCTGCTAATGCTTGGAGCCACTTCTCCTCCTTCTCATCTTCCAAAAAACACACAGCTGCAGGATTCCCCTTGAATGCTGACTCAGAAAATGCATCTACCTGATTATCAAACTCAGATTCAGCAAAACAAAACATCCTAATTCCTATCAACAAAGCAAAACAAACATACCACAAAGTATTTCACATGTTTCTTTGCATTTGACAATGGAACAGATGCCATGTCTCTCCAGTGATTGCTAAAACTGGTCAAACCTTCAACGCTTCCCCGACAGCCGCCACCAAAGTGTTATGTGCTTCCTTCCCGTTTATCACTTCTTAAATAATGTATTGTTTACAAATTTTTACATACTTTACATTTACTGTTTTACTTTTTCAATCTTTCTAATTTTTACAATTACAAAAAATTAATATTTTTAATGATGAAAATATTTTAAAAGTGATTTGCAAATGGTGAAATGATACAAGTGGTTGTAAAAAAAAAATTTTAAAAAAATTTATTAAAAAAAAAAAAAAATTAAAAAAAAAAAATAAAATAATTTTTTAAGATAAAAATAAAAATAACCCATAAAAAAAAAAAAAAAGAAAAAAAAAATAGAATTAAAGATTTTACAAAAAAATAACAAAAAATTAAAAAAAAAATAAAATAAAAAAAAATAAAAAAAAAAAAATTTTTTAAAAGAATATGGGAAGATGAGAAAAGAAATAGAACTGGAATCCATATACACACATTTCGTGGGTGGTAAGAAGAAAAACTCTGCATAAGCTTAATAAAAGAATTTATTAAAGAAAATATCAAATACACGCTTCCTTTTATAAGCATTTAATTATAATACTTTTAACATTTTATTAATATTTTTGTGAAATATTAAATAAAAATAACCATATTCATTATTTTGAGTACGAACGTAGCATGTGACTTAAAAATGGCACATGTTTTCTGTACTCTTTATTTATATACTAACGAAATGCCTTTGTGCAAACAACGGGTATGAGAGATTTTTCATACTACAATTTGAATTAAAAAGAGTAAGATTCCAAAGCTTTTGGTTTGCATTAGCAAATTGTTTATATAAACTTGTCAACAATAATTTATATTAATTGCAGATTACGAACATTTAATCAAATGCAAAGTTTAAACTTCTTCTCACTGTCAATTAAAATTCCCATTCTAGTGCGTAAACCAACTGAGGGATTTTACATTAATGATACCGGGAAATACATCTCCGACTGAAAGATACATGGCAGAAAGCAAAATAACTTGACTAATTAAAAAAAAAAGGAGGTTAAAACCAGTGTGGCCAGTAATAAATGAATTTTATAACATAAACCAAAATTTTGGCTAGTTTCACAAAATCCCTTGACCTAGCTTCCTCTATTTTCAACTCTAACCTCCTTTCATTCCTTTGCTACGAAAACAAATTATAACAGCTAGAGGTGGTTGTCAGTATTTCTGTACACCAAAAAAGGCAGATCCCTGTACATACTAATCGTTTGATCTGCAGCCAGCAAAGCAACCAAGAAAAAAGTCTACAGCATATTGTTCCACCAAAAACTTTACACAAAATTCAGAGCGCAGGAACAGGCTTATGTAACACCGACGTCCCTTGAAATATCATCATGCGATAAAATTTCTTATACTTGTTTATCTGAAACCACACCAGAAGTTAGTCCATATATAATGAGTGCAAACCATCGAGAAACTACACTGAACGTAAGATGAAGTTAATACATACCTCATCTTGAGCTAGCTTTGTAAACCCAAATTTACCGGTCCATATCGATTCAGCTTCATCGGCAGCTGGTAGGACAAGGTTTTTCACATTCAAAGAACCAAGTAATGTCTCGATACAAGAAAATAGACACTGAAAATAACCCTGGAAAAAAATACGTTTTTAGTTAGAATATTTCCTGACATTCGCAGAAATCCTTGTCACTATAGTAAAAAAAAAAACTAAATAACCTGTCCTTGTTGATCAGAAGTTGTTGCCACCAATGGAAGCTCAGCAATTTCTGACCCAAAGACACGAAATACTCCAGCGCACACAATATCTCCACTGCAAAACAATAAAAATATACTTGGTAAGTAACAATTCCAACCAGATTTGCAACCCACATAAACCATGCCACCGTGATATACTTACTTGACAGTAAGCACTGCACAGTACATCCCACTAAAGTCTTGACCCCGAATGTTCCTTCTGAGGAAATGCAACAAATAAGAAAATTCATTCACATCCTACATATACATAATATATAAATAAATAAATATAGAATACACAAAATATACAAGGCTTACCCAAACAACATTGTCGGAATGAAATCTCGGCCCGATGTTGAATCAACTATAGGATCAAACCTTTCCTGTACAAAAACAAGATTCAAACTAACTAAAATTGCACATCCATCAAATTTGACATAAAATAAATGTCGTTTTCAAAATATAAATGAAAAATATACCACAATTTCTATACTAAACAAAGCAACTGATAAAAAGTTCTCCTTTTATACATATTTACAAGACCCTTTTCAGAAATTCTCATAACTTTTCAAAAAAAAAACCTTCGTAGTTGAATAATGCATTAATCTTTATTTCCTAAAATTACATTAATTTATTGAGAGGTGTTTACCAAAAATATAATAGATATTTGAAATGAATGACATAAGTCTCTGAGTAATCTGATTTAAGAATATAATTACTCACGATATGAAAGTCTCACTCAAATACTTTAGATTTAAATATGACAAGCACAACAATACTAATTATTGATCAACTTATTATTTTCAACCAATTTAACTCACTTTCTTAAAGAGTATGTATCAGTCGAGAAGATCTTATAAATAGAGAAGGAATAGAAAACTAAATAAAGATTAATCTTTATATACTCACATGGAAGATAGCAACAGCCTTTGAAAGCCTTTTCCTATTCTCGACAGAATCATCAAGCTTCCAATTTATAACCCTCCATTTAACATCAAGGTCACCTTGAATGTCTACACTTTTCTCTTCATGCTTCTTTTTAATCAAACTTAGAAGGGAATCTGGGAAACTCTTTTCCCCACAAGCTGCCAAATCCGCCAGAGCAGAATGAATTTGATTGCAAGATGTGCCACAAAACCAATTCCCCTCAGGCAATTCCTGTAAATTAATATCCGTTAAAAAAATGTACTTATTACAAGACGAATTCTCAATTAGAGTAGAAAATAATATAGAACAATAGTACCTCAAGGTTCTGCATATTATGATCCTTCAAGCATCCAACATGATATTCTTTCTCACACTGCAAGAACACTCCTATCAGAACTTAAAAACATATGATATAAAGAAACTTGTCATTAAGACCTTGCAATCTAAAACACAGAAAAAGCAAATACCTGATCACAAATAATTACTGTCCGAGGACCAAAGCTTTTACTGAAATTGTGACGACTGTATATTGCATCAAAGCAGGAGGGAGGAAGGCAAAAGAATAATGTGTCAATGCTAGCGTATTGAATCACATGTATAGAAACTAACAAATATTAAAAAAACAGAACGAAGTATTCAATACAAAAGAAGAATTTCAAATGGCCAGGGAAAAAATTCCCAACGTGAGTTCACCACACCAACTAATAAATGAGCCTAGTGTTAAATTGGCAAGCTTTCAGTTGACTAGTGAAGGCATAAAACGACACCAGAGAGAAGCCATGGCAGTAATAATTTCATCATATTATAACTTGGGTCACTACACTACCTACCAATAAATAAATATATAGCAGTGTTACCTGCACAAGGCACATCCACCATGGTCAACTTCTACAGTTCTGACAACACGAATACATCTTGGGTTCATCTGTTCCAAAATATCAGTACCTTCAATCCTTCCAGCTGCCAGAGCATTCACATTATGTTGCCCCTGCCTATCTTTCTGAAAAACATTCTGGCAATACTTACAATACCAAGTACCACTGGGAATGCATGGCAAAGGGACACAGTCTGAAATTGTAAAATTTTAAAGAGCCCGTCATAACAATGACTATAAACACTAGCATCAAGATCAAATTGCTGAGCAAAAGAATTACTCTCAAATTAAACAAAAAAGATACCACGACTTAAATTCAACCATCACTGCCAACAATTGCATTAAAGAAAGAAAAAAAAATCTCCATAATTCCCAGAGGTGCGAGACTATCCATAAAGAAAATCTTACATAAAAAAAAAATAATTTAAAAAAAAATTTAAAAAAAAATTTAAAAAAAAAAAAATAGAATATTTTTTTCAGGAGGGAGACAAGATTGTCCAATTCCTCAGTCAAGAAATGACATGTTAAAAGCACTAGAAAGTGCTTAAAGAGTGTCTTACAGATGGCATACAATGAAGGAACACCATAAAAATAAAAAAGGAATCTCCATAGCTCAACTGTCAGTTCAGATACATAACATTGGTTTTTCTAAAGTAAGTTGACAAATAAAATTAAAAAGCGGACTTACCAAAATAACAAATTTTCCTATTGATTTTGATTATAAAATAAATCCACACTGAAGAATTTATTTAAGAGCTTACAAACACTTTAAAAGTGTTATTACAGAATTTTCTAAAGATTGTTGGGTGCAAAAATATCCTAAACACGGTTAAATAATGGTATGATTTCTAATCATTATGGCCTTTTATGCCCCATAAGCATCCAACAACCCAGAGAAATTCTATACAGGTCCTACATTCTTTTCAAGAAGCTTCCCTACATTTCATTAAATAGTTTTTTGCAGGCAAGATACCATTACTGACATTGTTTCAATATATCAAAACTGGTTCAGTTTCCGTATCTAGTTTCTTGTTCAGTTTAAAATTTAACTCCTGGATGTATTATACCTCTGTTCGAGCAGAGTGTAAAGGAACACATGTCAATAAAGAATAGATTAATACAGTAAAAAGCAAACAACGTTTCACCTATGTGAAAAGCTCTAGGGCATCCATCACAACACAAAAGATCCCCTCCATCTTCACATATGATGCAGAGATCATCATTATCATTGTTGGAAAATCTCCGGTCTTTTGATAAAGAGATGGACAACTCATGGAGTGAGATTCCATTAGATGTGTAAATGTGCAGGTAACTGCAACACAATAACACAATTTTAAACAAGGAAATGACGACAGTCAACTGTTGAAAACACTCTGCTTTTCCTCAAAAATGATGACATGGTAACAAATAATTTACCTCAAATAATTTTCCTCACAAATACTTAATCAGTTAATCTAATTATATTTTTACATACTGTACTAGAGCTAGAAAATATTTATAGGACCCAAAACAAATACATTGAGCTGAGCAATTTAACACAAATCTAGATAGAAAATGAGGAAACACGCTATAATTGCATCCAATAACAATTTAAACTCATTTAATGAGCAAGACAACAAATAAAACTCATAATGAGCATATTAATGCAAATTTAGATAAACAATGCAGGTGCACCCTGCATCCAATAATAAAAGTTAAACAAGAACTCACGGCTTTCGTCGAGATGCCCAACCAGCATGAGCTTCAAACTGAGAAGCACTGACCTGCTCAATCAATTTTTTTTACAAAAACGTATAGGTGTTAAATATCTATCAGAGCCTAATATGTGGCACTATATAACATATAACAAGGAAAGGTACCTCACTGTTGCAGCAGGTACAAAATATCGCATATCCCTTTTTGTAACCAACCAACAGTTTCTGAACACAAAACAATAGTACAATAAGGAAAGATTAAACCCAAAAAGACAATAGGAAAAAAAATAGAACCAATCTTAATCAAAGCTACCTCTCCATGAGCATAGTAGGCTACTTCAGTTCCATCAGGCAAAACATCTGCTTCAAATACCAACTTATGCAAGCGCAGATCCCTTTCAAATATTAAAAAAAAAATACATGAATTAAATCCTTGATAAGTCCAAATCACAGGTATGTTAAAACATGTAAATATAAGCAATTCTAAATTTTAAGTGAAGCAAATGTTAGAAAAGTTATTTACAAATACACTTACTTCCTAGTTAGTCTTCCCTGACTCTTACCACGAGATGCACTGTGCTTCATCCCATTCTTTAATGAATTTGGCTTCATCACACTGTTTGATGAATTAAGCTTCATCCCACTATGTAACAAATTTGGCTTCATCTCATTGGTTAATGAGTTTGGCGCCAAGCAATTATTTAGCGAGTCTGGCTGCACGCCATTGTCTAATGAATTTGGCTGCATCTCATTGTCTAATGATTTTTGAACCATTACTTGCTCTGGTGATCTGAGATAGATAGGATGTGCATGCATTAAATAATCATATGCAATACATTCGGTGAACTTTGATAATATTACTATCACAACGCACATTATATAGTCTCTTACAGAAACATCCGTGTGAGAGTGAAAGTGACATCAAAAAAATAACTAGTCATCCTATACTATAATAGCCTGTCCGTTTATTAATAAGGAATAAGACAGGATGGTAAAACGGTTGATAAGTTTTACAATTTAGAAATTATCCATCACTTTAAAGGAAGGAAAATGTTATCATATATATCCCAAATTCTCATTTCTCATCCTTATAACGTAAAATCAAGCAGCCATTACGTTAAAAAAACAAAAAATTAAGTGATACCTTGGTTGAACCGGTGATGAAATCTTTTTGCTACATGCTGTGGCTATTTGAGGGGGACTTGCTAAGCAACAATCGCATACGAGCTTTGACACACCCTTGCATGCTCCTAAAATAGATACCGAAAGACATCAATATAAGTTGTTACATGGCCCGGAAATAAGTATGCATTGCTGCAAACACATTGGGATAATCAAGAGAGAGAAATCAAGAAGTATATGCATTTCAAACCTCGGCAGTGTAAACAGATCGAAGATTTGTTCATAGTGAAGCCACCAAGTAGTTTTTGGACGGCTTCCTCCACTGACTCCAATGGCAAATCGCAGCAGGCATTCATGACATCACGGAGGTTATTTCCACCATTCCCACAATCCATGTAAATATACTCCGGGGGACGTTTATTTGCACTGCCAGCATGCAGCTCAAACACAGTGGGCGTGACCACCTATTTCCACAAAGAACCAAATAAAAAGCATAAATTACAACCATAATCTGTAAGACACTAAACCAAAAAGAATTTTCGTATAACTCACCTCAATCCCCATGCAACTCTCACAAAAGCACAGAATCCCAGAGTTTCGAATCATTCCTTGAAGCGCTGTTTCTCCATTCTTTCGAGCCTAAAAAGTCGTCAAACAAACTCATACATCAAGCAGAAAGTCTTAAATACAAACATTAAAAATCCATCATTAAAAGAAGTAAAGATTGATGTACCTTTGATCCTTTCATGTACCTCACTGTCAATCCGTCAAGAATGCCCGTAGCCAGAAGATCCTTCAACTTGGAAGGAAATTTCCTCAACCTAGAATTCGAAAATCTTCCCGAAATAGGAGTGGTCATTAACACCGAAGCCTCAGTTTCTGATTCCCTCTTAATAACATCATCAACTCCAACCGCACCAACATTTTTCTCGTCATTTGCTTCCTCGGGTTTTTCCTTCAATGCCGACCGCGTAAACCTTCTCACAGTCGGAAGCCTCTCCATCCACTTTTTCGTTCTCTTCGTATACTTCTTCCCCTTATCATCATCATTCTCCAAAACAAGGGTTTCCCCACCAGGAACCTTATCTCCCGAAACACCCTTCTCCGATTCCTCATTAATTTCGCCAAGAGGTTGTGCCGTCTCATCCACAACCTCTTCCTTCAACGTCTCAGCCACAACAGGCTCATCCTCATTGACACCACTATCCAACACCTTCGGTTCCTCTTCGCCCACGACAATTTCTAACGCCTTCGGTTCCTCCTCGCTGATAACAGTTTCCAACACCTTCGGCTCCTCTTCGCAGATAACAGTTTCCAACACCTTAGGCTCCTCTTCGCAGATAACAGTTTCCAACACCTTAGGCTCCTCTTCGCAGATAACAGTTTCCAACACCTTCGGCTCCTCTTCGCCCATAATATTTTCCATGGCCACATCACTCTTCGTTTCCTCTTCACAAACCAACATTGCCGGAGACTCTGACTCTCCCGCATGATTATTCTTCGGCTCATCATCGCTCTGAAGATCCACCACGTCGCTCTTAGCCTCTTCCTCGCTCAAGACGTCCTCCGACGTTTTCGGCTCGACGGTCTTCCTGGACCGTTTCCGGGCAGATGCCGTCTGAACAGGAGGGTCAGGCCGGTTCTTGCTGGCCCGCGTTCGGCCCAGAGAAGCGCCGCAGATCTCAGATTGGGCCTTCATTGCGAACGCGAACTCCCTCTTGAGACCAGTCCGGACCCTAGAAAGCAACACGAACTCGTCGGAATCGGTGCCCTTGGCCATTGATTGAAGCTATTGGCAGCAGAAAAGGGTGAATAATACCCGAAAATTTATGGAAGATCCGAGAAAGTGTGCGGATTGCACATGCGAATGGGGAAGTTTGAACGAGAGGATTGGGTTGGAAAAGGAAAGTTAGGGTTTGGAGAAAAAAGGGTAAGAGTGAATAATTTGGGATTTGAGGGTCAAGGGAGAGAAAGACGCAGAAGAGATGTTAATGTTTTCTCCAATGCCCAAACTAACCCTGCGATGATCGCGATACCATTTCTCCAGATTTTGATTTTCCATTTGGCCTTGTGTTTCGTGATATTCCAGTTTCTGCTATCTCATTTATACGTTCCATAAATTTAAATACATTATTTGACCAATTTTGAATTTTTTTGCGGCCTATTCTTCATAGTTACCAATCATGAGGTGTCAACTAACTATTTGCCGTTGTTAACATTATTCTATGCTACATATTATATTATTGTAACAAGAA